CAAATGAGCTATTGAACTGATTTATATCACTTAAGTGCACAAAATGAGTTATATTGACATTAAAGAACAAATAGTTTGCACAATAAAAACGAAGATATTCTGATCATAAAAGTTCCCTAAAAACTATTAAGTGTTTTCGTTTGAAAATCAAAATCATATTTTATCTTGTTTTTTTTTACTTACAAAGTGATTTGATGCATTTGAAAAATACATTCTGCAATTTTATAAGCCTGTTAAAACAGACGTCTTGGGAGACTTGAATTAATAAAATATGAAGAGATACGAGTATAAAAATGGTTTTATTATGTATCTACAACTGTGTTGGCCCGTTTAAAAGAAAAACTGACATGTTATAGCATATCGGTACAAAATGCGTTAGATATCATTTAACTGGAGATAACCGTTATATTTTTATTGACAGAATCTAAATACTCATTTCAAACAGAATAATATAATTATATGAATATGAATCATAATCATGGTAAAATTTCAAAACAGTTAAAAAAGAGGTTTATAGTTGTTTTTTTTATATAAAAAGTAAAGGTTGATAAAATATGTATAAGAAACTTTATCTTTTTTCCTAAGATTATAGTTTTCTAGTGTATAATAGCTTTGTTGCAACTGCAAAATATGGCTTAACTGAAAAATAAATTCAAATTTACTCAAGATGCGTTTTGCGCATTGTTACAGTTGTGTTGGATGAAACATGATATTTATATATAATCATTTACTCATTGGACAATGCTTAATTGTTTTACTAAATTAAGCATTTTTTTGTTTATGTAAAATTTTGTTTACATATATTTCCAGTCAACAAATTCTTACAATATTTATATGCCAGGGGTCATTTAACACGTCATATTCTTTGAAAATGTGATTAACATAAGCCCTAAATTTTGGTAAAGCCAATAAGATATTTTACAAAGTGTTTTATAAAGATAAAAAAAATCAAGTGAAAGTAAGGGGAATCAATGCGTAAGAACATTAAAGTTATGTAGAAGCACAATTATCGATCCTGCAAGTAAAATTAGTAACACTTTTATCTAGGTTGATGCGTATCAGTATTGAATTGATGGGTATATATGTATGGCTGATATGCCTACATTTTCATTTTACATTGGACTGTCGAATATGTTTTGGTATTGATACCTTTTATATTAAGGGATTAGCACCCTAATGCATTACCCCCGCTTTGAAGAGTATTCAAATAGGCTAGAACTACTGTTAACTACATTGAAAATGAGGGCCATGGGTTCAATCCCCAGAAGGGTCAACTTTTTTTTTTCTTTCTTTTTTTCTTTTAACATTAGTTATGTATCTCTCATGTCCCATTTGAAAAGAAAAAAAGTGTTTAATTTTGATTTTTTAATTTATATAGGTATTTATTGGCTAAATTATGCTAAATCTAGTAATAAATAGGGTACCTGGTATTTTCAAAGTGTAATATAATCAAAACTAGACGGTTAAAGTATTTCATATTTTACAAGATCAACCAATATACTTTTATAAAAATTTAGGGAACTTTGAAAACAGGCATTCATTTGGGTAAATTTTAAGAATTTTTATAATTAGGCTCCCTAAGTAGAAAAATGGTCAGACATGTGGTAAAAATGGGTGGGGTAGGGTAACATTTTTATACAGATTTCATAAATTTTAAGTAGAAACCATAATTTTGCTTATTTGGATAGTTAGCTGAATGGTACTATTTGTTTCTTACCAAAATTTAATGGAAAAACATTTTTCATTAGAATGTTATTGCAGTTTATTGAAAGGTTCCTACTTTCTAAAAAAGGGCCCTCATAACATCCTAGCTTGAGTTCAGAAAAGTGGCCATAACTTGATTTCCGTACGGTAAACTTTGTTTTAATTTTGCCTACAGGTGTACTTTAAGGTATACATCTGACTTATGATGTCAATTTTTTAGTTCCTGATAGTGCCCATTAGGGTCCTAATACCTTAAAAAATTACAATTTAACGATTTTGTCAAATTTCATATAGCATGGTATTAGATTAATAAAAGCTGCATCCCTATCAATATTTGTATTCTTATTTTAATTACGTCAGAAAAGTACAAGTACAGTAATGAGGACAATTGTTAAACGTATGCTGAATAAGTTTGTTCGTTTGGCATCTAATGCATTAATAAATATGAAAATTAGACACTCTTGAGAGATTTACCTTTGACATAAATGCGTAAATAATTAATATAATTCATTGACTTTAACGAAGCATTGAAGAAACAAAACATATCATTGATAATATAAAACGTAAGTTTCTCAGTTAATTTAAAAGTGGCTGCGAGGATATGAGAAATGTAATCTATGCAGTAATACGGAAACAATTAATATTATTTTTGAGATCTTTAAAGGTTAAGCCGTTGCTTTTTATTATTTTACATACTTTTTTATTAACAAGAGACGAGACGTCATAATAATACTATGTAATAATTGTTTAGATAAATTGCAAGGTTGAACTGGTATTCAACTAGGAGTTAAAACAATGCATGCTAAAGATTAATTACTTACTTTATTGTGTATCTCTGTAAGAGTAACAAAATACAAGTACCTCTAGATTAATTTCCATCTTGATGTTACATGATTATTGTCTCTTTCTAGCTGAACTTGTTCAATTAATCAAACTAGATATTTACAAAGATCTTATTCTGGTGTATATATAAAGTTTAATATATATAATCATTCACACAAAACCAATTTGAGTTTGCGGATATTTGAGTGATGGAACCCTCCTGTGTATATTTTAAGATTTTAGCAGTATTTATTTGACTTAATGTAACAACATTGAAAGAAATACGAAGCAAAACCATAGTTGCCGAGAGAGACGTACTATCAACACCAACTACTTAATCACAGTTAAGTAAAAAACTAAATGAGTTGCAATGTTAAATATATACAATGCTCATCTTCGTATAATTATTATCTTATTGCTGCATGATGTTAGCATTAATCTATATAAATCCATAACAATCATACACTAAGGCATTTTATCCGAGGTAGAAATAGCCAGTCACAATTTCTTAAATGATAGGTACAATTCTTTTAATATTATAAAAAGTGCAAATCCTAAAGCTGTAGAATCTAAAGACTGCTTAATACTTCACATTAACCACTCGCAGCCAAACAAAGACGCTACAAGTATTGGATGTTACTAAAACAGAAGTTTAGTCTGAGATAAGATGAGTATTATCTTCAAAATGTTGAAAATGCCATGCTTTATCAATTCTCTGGACAGCTCTTGACTTTGGTCAGAAATTTGGCTATTACTTGCAATAAATCAGATATTTCTTAGTCATTGGATTTGTAAAACGGCAGCTTAAACTGTTCAAATTGATTTTTCTTGAATTTGAACTCATCAACCGATTTGGTATACTATTGTTCAGGCAATCATGTATCATGCCTGTATCATTTGTAGTTACATTTGTATTTAGTAAAGGTCAGAGCACGTCTTAAAAGATAAAAAGAAAATATGTCAACGAGATACACAATGACCTATGACACTTAAAAAACTGAAGAACCCATTGTTTTACTTTTCAATATGCTATTTATCAATTTTATTAATAATCTGTTTTATTAAAGGTGAATACTAATCTTTCCAGGTTTTAGGAAGCGTGCACTATTTTTCCATCTTGTAAAGATAACTGTGTTTATGACGTTTTAGAATTCAATTTCATGTAAATAAATGTAAATAGAATAGGCAAATGCTAGAAAGATTAGTGTATAGATCCGTTAAAGTAATGTTTGAAGGGGAGTAATAGAAGCCGTCTGGCTAATGGATCTTTAATATTTGGAGGGACTCCACAGAGGTTTTTGACAGTACGGTATTGCAAATTTATTTTTGAGATAAATGTACCGTTTTATGTAAGTCTTGACAAGTACCAAGTACAATTTAAGAACATTCGATCACTACTACTTTTCCAGAATTATAATTCAGATGTGAAAAGTGACCTTAATTGAAAAATAGCGTTAAAACGCTCTACACCCAAATCGAGACAAGAATAACACAAGAATACCGTTTTTTAATTTATTTCTGAGTTAATTTCAATAATTGTCCTTTGTAAATGTTTCAGTTTTATTAGTGGTTTGAACAATATTTATTTATACTCTATTCATTTTCATAATAAGGTACAAAAAATAAAATTTAGGGATTAAGTAGGAAGCTGAAAAGCTTTTTTGAAACTCTCTCCGTATAAAATAATAAAGTTTCTGTTTTATTGCCAAAACTTGTATTGTAGGCATTAAAATTTTATGTTTTAAGGCTTTTGGAATTCAGTGGAGTTCCTTTATGTAACTATGTTCACATTTCTATCAGTTTGTTTGTGTGAAGCAAATGACAAATCTTTTTTACCTGATGTTTTTTGTTAAAAGCAAAACAATGTTTATTTTAATGTTGGTCTTCAGTGTCCAGTGCTTATAAAATTATTCTAAAAGCGCAATTATTATAATGTACTTTTACATTTCACACATGATTATTTTGCCCTTTCTCTTGCGAAATGCAAATCTATATAATTTTTGTCTGTAAATTTTTGTTACTTTTTATTGCCTTTTTAAACTGACCATTTCATATGATGCTTGTAATTGTCTCTTTCTAGCTGAACTTGTTCAATTAACTGGCTCTTATTGTCCTTTTGCCAGGCAAATTAATTCTATTGATGTTCAGTCAAAACTATTCATCAATAAAGATTACAAAAATGTACAGCGCTAATTCATATTATGAATTCATATCATGTGCTAAATAGTAACTTCTGGCTCATCATCATTATAACCAACAACACCACCACAACAATAATCACAATCTTGATACGTATCAGAACCCTCTATGTTTGTTTTAGCATGTTGTTTGTTTTAGCATGTAACTGACTGTCACTGGTGACAATCTAAGGAAACCAACTTATATTTAATAAGTGGGTTTCTTGAGTGACAACAATATTTGAAATTACGTATTTCTGGTTCAAAATAACTCATAGAAGAAAACAAAATACACTTTATATGTTACAACTGTTTATTATAGGAAGATTTTTATTTAAAATACTATCATAACGGATTAAAGGTTTTTAGCAGATTATAAATAACTATACCAAATAACTTTCATTAAAAATGGCTAAACATTTTGAGGTTCAACATTTTAAAGAAACAAGGGATTTCGTGTTTATGTATCAGTATTTAAGATCTTATTGAAGACACGATATTCTAAAATGTCACAACGTGTATTTTTGTATATTCTTAAATGAGCAGAAACGTTTATCCATAATCACATGGCGTTCATCGGGAATATTAAACGGTTATGTAACATGTGTGAGGTCATATACTGATGATAGCTCCTATCTCATATATTCTCGTTTTGACTAGTCATTTAACTGTCTGAAATAAGTCAACGAGTTAAGTTTCAAGTGAACACAAAGTGATGCAATTCTATTTGATAAGTGTGTGCCTTAAACAATGAATAATTATATATCAAATAAGTACATGTATAAACTTAATCAAAACACTCGTTAACTTATTAAAATAAATTCTTTCCGGATAATACTCTATACCGACTAGTTACCTTTTCGATTTCAACATACCACTTTTAATGAAATGAAAGTAGAACGATCAACCAAAATTTTTTTTCATATAGTAAACATTAATCCTCATTTAAGAGCTAAACAGTTGTAAATTTTACTTATTAATCTGAATATTTTGAAACACAGATGAACAGAAAAAGGGAAACAATTTAAAAAGATACAAACATCAAAGAAAGCAATGAATTAAACTTCCTTTATATAATGATTCAAAATGTGGACTATCATCTTAACAATATTGTTATAATGTGCTAAGGTTATGTGTTTCTGTTTGTTTTTGTTGTTATTTAAAGCTGCATTAAGTAAAATATGTAAACTTATTTTTTTCGTCGGCTTTAAAAACAAGTATTCTATAGTTTCCTTAACATATTAACAGTAGTGTTGAAAATATCATTAAAATTGTTCATAAGTTATGATTTTAAAAGGAAAACCAGACTGTAATACTAAAGTTCGTATATTTTAAAGACTGGTCTAATTAGCCCGTGTATGCGCTACGTCACAGTGGTGCAATCAGTTGTTTCCATGCAAATCACAGCAAATGTGAGATATCCTTGTGCAAATAAAACTTTACCTTTTTAGTTTCACTGTGCATTAGCTCTGTCGTTAACAAGAAAGTAATTATCTCATAAAAATGTTGAATTTGTATGAAAACATCCGTAATTATGCAGAATTTTCCCGTTAAATTCGGACTGCTACTTAAAAGTGTTTGTTGATTTTCTGTTGATGTACAGATGACCCAAAGGCGAGTTTCTCATGCAAATAGAAAGTGTACGTCTGATTTTACCACAAAGAGGTTGCAGTATTTTAGGCATAAAATAGCATTTTGGTTGTCTTGGCACCAAACTAAGGACAGGAGTCGATATGGAACACATTTAACGAAATGTTGCTATTTCTTTTATTATGATATTAATTTAATGCAGCTTTAATCTTTGAAATTTCTCATTTGAAAATATTTTTTTAAAGCATTTCTGTTGTGTGTTGTAAGGATCGTCATTAGCAATGAACAAATTACATAGAAAATATATATGGGTAGAATAGATTGGAACAAAATCCTTAAAAAAAGTCCAGAACACCGAAATTGAAAATATTGCAGGCTCGGTTAGATTGCGCCTATTCATGAACAGCACTGCACACGACTGCCCACGCCCCATAGCACAGACTTAAGCAAAATCAAAAGTAAATGTCTCTCTATTTAAGTTCAAAGTAACAATGAATTATGAAACATGGAAATTGCATGATGCTTTTTTAATTAGGGACATAAATGAATTCTTGAATTATAGATTTCACACGAGCAAATTAAAGCAAACGCTGGACGTGACGGATACAAATCCATATGAAACCAACCTGAAATTGATATAAATATTTGATATTAATGTGTTAAACCTCTAGATATTTGCATGAGCATTAGTCTGCATGCATGCATTTCTCAATTTATCTGTACTTGCAAGATTAGATGGGTTAGGGTTACATAACTGGAATTATGAAGTGCATTTCCTGAAACACTGTCTAAACGGCGTTAATATGATATTTTTGGTGGTATATTTATTGAAGAGAAAGAAAGACAACTGCGAGATGTACCTTATTATTTCTTTAAAAAATCGAGTACAGGTTCATAATTACATTCATGGCTAATGAATTTATTTCTGCTTTGGTTATGCTGAATGAACTTATTAAGAATTAAACACTAATATTAATATAATAAGACTACACTTACGAAATAACATTCCATTAGAACATCATATAACGTGCTGTCAGAACCGACAGCGACAGAACAATTGCTCCGAACCCAGCCATCGCAGCTAAAATATAAATAAGAATTTAAATTCAAGGAATTGTTTCTAATATGAAATAAATGCACATTTTGTTAAAATAATAGTTTGTTATGCATGGTTAGGGTGCTGTTTAATATTTGATGTATCCCATCATATGAAGGACCTACCAATTATGACATAACCAGACAGAATATTTTTCAATAATTTCAAACGTAAATTATATGTAATGAAATCTTGTTAAAAATAATATCAATCAGTTTTCTTATAATGTGTACCGAAATTGAATTAAACGTGCACATGGTATAGATGAAAAATTATATACCAGAACTCTTCGGGTCACATTTGTCAACGTTCATCGTGAAGTCAGCGTCGCATTTACATTTACTAGTATCTGTGTCACAGACAGCATTGCCAATTGTGCTACATGCTGTGTCCGATGTGCAATCTGTTCCACTGACAGCTAAAATAGCACATTATCTTCAGATACAAATGTTATGGAAAACTTATAAAAAACAAAATTTTTGTATTGCATTACTTTTACAGGTAATGCAAACATAACGTAAAATATATTTACCTGTAAATACAATTTCAAACATTCATTTAAACTGTGAAACGTACGTTACAACTAAAAGTGAGTAAAATTTGTATTTTAAAGTACATAGTTTACGTGTATTGCTTTTTATTGAAATATATGTTGTTTTTTTTTAATTTCAAAATCAATGCTCTCAAAATGAGCTGTTTTAATCAAATAAAGTTATTGCTATAAGCTATGTTAACTTAAAGTTTTAGAAATCAACTATGGTATATTGTATTACTCTGTGTGCAAACGTCATTCTTATCTGCATAGTCCTCTTTACATACACATTTATCTTCTTTACATATTGTATTTTCGTCGCCGGAACATGCTGCAGTTCCGGTACAAGTACTTCCAATTACTGAAACGAATAAGATAAATAACCTGTGACATCTAAATAAACACGAATCAATTGCTGAATCACTTAAATGTTAACTTATACTTAGTACGAAAATTAATAGGTTTTTTATGCAAGTCATAAATGATAAGTAGGTCCATGTTATTATGGATCATATAACTTTTTGAAGCGCAGGTAGAAACGAAAGATAAAACTACTACTTAAAAAGCCTTTATTTAATAAAAAATTTGGTGTACATAACATCTCGTCATTAGAAAGAAAAGTAAGTTATCAAATGATAAAACACCAAATTATTATGACAGAACCAATTCAGGTTTCTAGAGATAAGGTTATTTGAACAAGAGATTTGATGTTTTTAACAAATAAACCCTTACATTTCGGAAATACGAAATAGTTAAAGTCTGGCATACCTTAATATGTTTTTGCTCTATAACGTATGTACAAACAATTTATCTAGGAAAACTTGAAATACGATTAGAAAATTCGTTTAAGTAACACCCACTTGGTAATCTGCTCTCCAAGATTTAAAAAGCACTAACCATCCCTCTATTCATCGCATTATATGCATTCAATTATGTAAATCACGTTATGTTTGTTTTTATCGTAAACAGGCGAAATAAGTTGTTGTTTTTGTAATCCTATGCAGCACAAAGAGTTTTATTTATATATGAAACGCAACTATGAGGCTACTGCGAGTTCTTCGTTTGAAATCAGACATTGTGTATGCAAAATTTGATACTCATAGAAAACTGGGAGATACTGTTTTTAACTTCCCGCAGCTACATCACTTAACTGAATACTATTAAAAGTGATGTTAAACCCAATAGTAGGAAGGATCAGAAACAAATAAAAAAACAACTAAAAATTAATGATAATTGCAGCCTTATTAGAGCTTTTTTGTTTTGAATATTGAAAACATACAATAACAGTGCGTAATTGTTCCTCTTAAATTTACTATTTAGCCTAATCAGATATACTCTTATTATACGTACCTATTTACATATTATGTTAATTTATTGTAGTCAATTTTGGTATCTTGTTATAGTTTCCAAATATTGCTCATTAGCCATATAGGTGTACTATCGTTTGATTCTTTTGGTCTGTTGGCAATTGGTATAATTATAGTTGAATAATTTGTGGCACTTAATTATAATTATAATTAGTTAATTAATTATATCATATATATGATGACCAATATATCTTTTTGACCGATATCTTGAAATATGATCAAGGCACAATCATTTGCATAAATATTCCTTCTTGAATTAATATCTCAGTAATAATGGATTTACACTTAAAACCTAACTATATCACTTTAACCATTAACTTAAAGTTTTATTTCATTTAATTCATTTTAACATCTCGAGGCCAGTGGTTTTAAAGCAACAATGATCACGCATTTATATTGATATTTTTCATTCTTAGTTGATAAGATGTATTTGAGAAAACTTGGCGAAAATTCGAAAGCAGCGTAAAGACGTCATCCTAAGTATGCAATGGAAAAGGAAATTGAAAGAAAACGTCAGCGGTAAAGAAGGTTGGGAAAATATAATTGTTTTGCATTTTTATGATTAGTTTATCCCTTGTTAAAAAGATAATTACTTTATGACATATTAAAACAGTACACATTATTTTAACCTTTGTAAAAATAATAGAATAACGTCACATACGTTTAAATTTCATAAACAATATTTTGGTGCCTAAATATAGGTCCTTTATGCTAAAAATATCGAAAACATCCAATAAAAAAGTGCGTTTTTATTACTTGACTTTATTGCTTTAAAGATTATTCAAAAATGCTCTGATTGTTCGTACCTGTTTATATATTATGTATATAATTGTATATTGTATTTAATAAAATAATAATTGAAACGAAGCTCAAATTATTGTCAGAGATAATTGCTTAAGTAAATGTTGCATTACAAATAACATATTGTGAAAAATGACACAACTATTGTCATAATAATTCAAAAGTAGCTAATTAGTATCATTTATTTCAAATGTTAAAATAGAGGTCAATCACAAAAAGACATTTTTTTAAATAACGTCAAAGATATACAAACTTTTGCTACAAGTGGCATCTCCTGTGTATCCAACCTTACATGCGCAAACATCACCCTTACACTCCGAATTTGTTACACTGCAAACCGTGTTTTCGTTTTCAGCAGTACATGCAGAACCAATGACTTAAAGCAAAGGTAACCATGACTTTTAATCAAGCATGATTAATATGTTAAAGGGACTGCACTGAGGCTTTTTGACATGATGGGACTGAAAATATTTTTCCAGATAATTGTACCATTTGATGTACAAAAATGTAGGTTATAACTGTTTCCAAACGGGCGGTTGTGTCCTTGAGTACATCCTCATTTAGCGGCATGAATTATATATGATACAGTTTACATGGAAAAAAGAAGGTAAATTGTTCATAGATACAGAAATTATGCAAACGTTGGATTATTAAATGTATCTGAACTGACATTTAAACTGCAAATGAAATTATCAAGATGCGGCTCAGAATGAAAAAAAAAAAAATATGTATTACTTCAACATTGTCATGTTCTGATAAATGATAAATAACATGTAATATGTGTTTAATGTAAATATTGTTTTATCTTTGAGCTTGGGGCTACTTTTAATTTTCAAATTAAACAATCAAAAAATACCTCATTTAAACTTTTTGAAAAAGAAAACCTTTATAGCAATATGCAAAATATTTACAAAATATCTACAAGAAAATATATCCACTAATCTTTGTAAAGCGGTTTGCAAACAATACCACAACACATTGTAAAGTAAATTACATTATGTTACTGTGTTGAAATGAAATAATTGGTGTGTCTGGAGCATTTTAAGAAGTTGGTAGAAATTTGCAAAATATCAGTGTATTGGAAAAGAAATATTAATTAGAATTTTTTTTTAATGCCCATGTAAACAGCATCGATGCGGTTTTATTCTTTAAATTTCTTTTCCAAATCAATTAAATGAATAATATTATAAAACGATGTCAAACCCATAGTAGGAAGGAAGAATTAGAAGACAAAACAATAATAAATAAAGTAAAAGATAAATAAATAAATTAAATGATTACAATGAATTACAAGTTTCATTTTGTTTAGATATACTCTTGCATTTTAATTTATTTTTATTGTGTTCGTGCTTCATAATTAGAATAATAAAAATAAAATTCCGCTTGAAACTCGAACTCGCACTCTACCTCTACACAACTAGGCAATGTAGGCAATTTATTAATGCTATTGCGTTGATTTTGACCCCTTTTTACTACTTTCTACTAGACTTTACCTATTTTTATATTATTTAAACTTATTGCAGTCAATAAAATAATAATTGAAGGTCATGTTGTTGTCAAAGATTTATGCTTCTGTAAAATGTTGCATTAACAATAAATTGTAAAGAATGACATAAATATTGTTATAATAATTCAGAAGTAGCTAATTTGTAACATTAATTTCGTATGATCAAATCTATATTTACGAAAATACACATTTATTTCAGATATTGACAACAATATACAAACTTTTGCTACAAGTGGTATCTCCTTTTTTACCTCCTACAGGGATAAACTTCTTTTCACACCTATTTGTTAAACTGCAAAACTGGTTTTTGTTTTCTGCAGGATGCGAACCCCAGGGCTAAAGCAATAACAATGAAATTTAAAACAAAATGATAAAAATTTCAAAGCAAAATTAAAATGTCTATAAAACAGTTTGTGAATAAAAAACAAAAGAAGATTTAAATTATAACTCCATGTTCAAGCTTTGCAGTAAATATAAAACTTTTTGAACTTTAAACTACTGAGAGAATACCAATGCTACTTCTTAAAATGACAAAATAATAAATGTATTACTTCACTATTACCATGTTCTGATAAATGATTAATGACATGTAGTAAGTGCTTGATGTATATATATTTTTATCATTGAAATTGGTACTACTTGACTTACCTTGTTTTATAAAATGTATGATAGTTAACTTCACGAATTATTGTTTTAATTTTATTTTTCAATAAAGCATGCGAAAAGATAATACATAAATAAACTATCATAACAGTTTAGAAAATATCTACGAAAAAAGATATTAACTTATCTTGTTTTAAACGTTAGCAAAAAATATCTTAACACGTTGTTTATAGTAAATAACAGTATGTTACAATGTTGAAACGAAATGTTTAATTGATGAAAAATACCTTTTAAGCAAGCACCAGCGTTTTCTTTAAACCCAGTTTCGCACACACATTCGTCTCCAACGCAATGTGAGTTGGCAGTGGTACAGGCATTTGCGGAACAATCCCCTCCTAATTCTAAAAACACGGATTTTAATATCAAATTGTTATATATAATTCGGCAAATTTTATTATCTGGCTAATACAAGGAAGTCAGTGGTAAATGGTCAGTATAAATATGCAAACACACATTGGATTTAGCTTTTGTTGGTTAACAGACTTTTTTATGTTCTTTGGTACTCTTTATAAAACCTTAGATGGTGTTTTTATAACACAAATAGATTGTTTATCTTTATGTGAATGTTTGATACAGATTTATGGCAGTAACACAATTTGCTTAATAAAAACATCTTAACTAAGTTTACAATGCTCTTACCTACTCCGTGACAAACATCAATAGCAAATCCCAAAAGCTGCACAATCAGCCACAATGAACTTTTATTTTGTAGCATCTGCAAATGTAATGTACATGCGGTATTTCTAATGTTGTCGAAAATTAAAGAAACTGTGTGTTCAGTAGCTTATCTTTGCAGATCTTTTTTTATATGTATAACATACATGTTATGTAACTTGCATTTCATAGACCGTAACATTTTTAAGTTTAATTAAATGTGGTGCATGTCACTTTCGTTGCGATTGATCAAGAAATCCTTTCTACGGCCATTCGCACTGTATCTCTGCTCTGGCATGGACAGAAGTTTCAGCTCCTTGTGAAAGTGAAAGCAACTAGTACAGGTAAACTATTTGACAGCTTGCCCAGAAACGGTGCGGTGTCTGAACTATGCTCTGGTAAATTCCTACCAGATCTCATATTCACAGGTGGCAGAAGAAATAAGATGGCTCTATATGCATTATTTCAGGCTCGGACTAACACCTGGATAGAACCACTGACGTTCCGTAAGCTTGCTTTTTGTGTTCAACACAAAACAAGAATCCAAAGTTTATTGAAAGATTCAAACCGACATCGCGAGGTGCAAATGGTTTAAATAGAAACAAATCAAGGCATTCGTGGAACTAAAGTGAAAAAAATGTAACCTGTTTATACAGATAATGCAACTTAAGTAACCGATTTATACGAACAAAATAACGGGATTATTTCAGTCAATAAGAAAATATTATAACAGACATAGAAATTGACAATGCATGATCTTATGAAAATTTGTACAGCCTCTACACCATCTCTCCAAATGGCAAACACATGTTTCTATAACAAATTGTCAGAAAATATGACAAAACACCACACTACTTGAGCTGGTAATAATTACCTTTACCACAAAGTGAGTATGCTTCACATAATTTTACCACGACCAAGTTAAAGACAAATGCATTGATGCAAAAGTTTGAAATTTGGAAATATAAATTATTGTTTATTTGAGAAAAGAAAAGATGATCCCTCATAATCAGCTGGGTAAAATTGATATAAATACAGAGGACAATTTACTTTTAACAAAACCGATTTATTTATCACTCACGATAAGACATATAAGGGAAAGCTACTTTTAAATGCAAAATGACAAAGAAAAATAAATCTATTTTAAAGCTTTCCTTTTATTCTATCTTTATAAATAACTTTCAAAAATAAAGAAAGAATTCGGAACACTATAGACATAATACCAAACAGATAAGGATTTGACTTATATTGATGTTAAACGTTTCATAAGTTATCCCATATTAAACAAAGTAAATGTAGTGTGATTATAACAGAACCGATGGGAGCATTCTATGCATAACAGTTTAAAATTTTCTTTTTATATTTTACAGTTCCTCTTAAATATATAAATAAACGTAGATTGAGTTTATGATGATAATTATAATTATAAAAATCCAATTTTCGTGTTTGTTTAGGATGGCTAGGAGACTTGAATGCATGCATATTTTTATAAATAAATGGCTTAGTCAAATGAATGACAAATTGAAATATTAAATAATTGTAGTAAAAATCAAACATAACGACACAAAGCATTTATATTAATTTCGGAAAATAAATTGCAGGGAAAAATATTGAAAATTCTTAACTTAATCTATTAAACATTTAGTTCTCTTTTAAATGAAATGTTTTTTCCCATTCATTTATTTCATTATTATCATTATAGATTCTGAGGAACGTAAATTAAACAAATAGAAGACCGATTTCGGCTTAATTAGCGAAAACGTATGCTTTCAATTTTCAATGAGTGATATTAAGTATAGTTGTTTCATAATAAATTTTGTGATATTAATTAATTTCATACTGAACTTTCTAAGTTTCATTGATAAACCTATCGAGAATTGATAATTGAATTTAATGATCTGGTAAAACATGTTTAGTTTCTAAACTTTAATTATGTTTTACAATAATAATAAAATCAACTCGGGTGTTGTTACAAAAGAAAAGAAGCAAAGTACAAAGGTTCACCCAAAAAAAAAAACCGATTTGTTCATCCCTTTAGCTTACGAGGCATATATTCAAGATAGAAATACGAAATTACAGACCTTGATGCAATTATGTCTCTTTTTTAATCATGTGTATGAAATAATTAGAAATCTTATTTTTGTGCACATGAATAGTAGAACAAAAATCAAAACACATTCAACTAATTATTATAAAGGTTGACATTTTTTAAATTATGTTTATACCTTTTTACCAATCAAGAACACGTCATCAAAGTTTATCGCGTTTTTGAACATCTTTTTATGATGCAGCTTCAATAATTCAATATTATTCAACATTTTATTCCAAAAGCATGTTAATATTCAAATTAAAACATTAATCATTAGGAGATAAAAATCATGCAGATATTTCATCTTCATTGTAGATATGTTTTCCATTCGCTCTTTTTACTATAATTTAGCGATCAGTTCTATCCGTTTAATATTTACTAAATTTTCTAAATATTTGAATTTTTTTTTAAATTTTATAGTCAAATGGTGTTCGGTTTTAAGAATATATGAAAATGAATGATGATCAGTACAAATCAAGCTAATTTTGCGAGAACCTTATTTATCTTATTAAAAGTTTAATTCAAGTAAACATGTTTGATGAAAAATACAGTATTCACAAGCATGTCATTATAACATACATGCATATCAGCAGCATCAAAAAGTATTTCATTCCGTAGTTGAATTGATTTGCTATTTTAAGTATAAACATTACAGACCATACGAATATTTCCTTTTTTCCAAGTAGAATTCATTAATGTCAAAAGACTAATAGTGTGAAACGTAGATAGTTACAGTTACTTACCATGATTATACCACGTGCCCCGCTAGAATCAAAATGACAGTAGCTGTGCATGGTTACCCGTATTTATGATTGATGAAATATCGGGGCTTTGGAAAATGGTCACGTGGCCTATCTTGTAAATCATTACATAATGATGAATAGGTTTGCAACGTTTCGGCATATAAATGTTTATTTTAAAGTTGTTTGTTTAAACATACTTGAACAGTCTGGTAAAAGTTGATTTATATTTTAATAATTATCAAGGACTGAATTTATGTCATTCAAATTTCTGTTGCGAAACCAAACTATTGTTTGATGCGTAATTATTCACAATAAACCCACTGATTGTTAGCCATACGCTCGTAAATGTGAAGACGCTTACAACAATTTTTCTTGAACATATCTTGTCATGATCCCTAGCGAAAAGTTCCCAAAGAAGATATTGAGCCACAATATAACAATATTCTACAGCATATCTTGCAGTTAACAATGCCAGTTTGTGAAATTTTAAATTGAACAGAAATTCTGGCATTGCATTTAGCTATAATTTGTTATAAAAGCTGATGCTTTCTATACATTTGCATATATACTTTTTAGCTCATTGGTTACGTCGTTTTTTGTTTATAAAATAAGTTTATAAATACTCCTAAATTTGTGTTTTTTTTAATCGATGAAGCGGTGAAGACAATTTGACAAGGTTCGCACTCAGTGGTATAGAAACGGTAACCTCTGGCGTTGAAGCTATCCATGTCAAACCGTTGAGTTATATATTCAATTTGATATTTATTTTTGTCGTAATTTATATAATGTTAAGGTTTCAGTTGACCATTTGATACCAGACAAATAAAAAATACAACGCTAATATTATTTCTATGTCAATCTAAATTTATACTTTATGATATTTTTGTTCTAATTTAGGAATATTTTTTTTTATTTTTCTAAAATGGAATATGGCATTGAATTGGCATAATGAAAATGATTAGTATAAACTTTTAAAATAATTTTGCATTTTCTTTATTTTGAAGTTATTAAAACTTGTATAGTTACAGGGTTTTGGGGCTTTTTTTTTACAATTGGACATTTAAAGGTCCATGATCCCTCAGAAATGATTTCATCTTATTTCTCAAAATATTTTAATTTTTGCATCTAGTGGTTTTGCATCTGATGAAGGTCAATTCACTTATGTGTTTATATATAACCACTTTCTTGACAAATAACTTACACATTTAGCTCTACTTTCATCAGGTGATAAGCATTTAAAATTCTCTGAAACCATTATTTACAAACTTTGAAACTCATGTTTGCCATTTCAAAAGACAGAAATATATATTTGTTTCTGAAGCTATATTTGTCTCTGAAAGCGCCTTTCAATTAAGAACATCTATAACTATTATAAAATGTAGATGCAACAAAAAAGAATGATAGCGTTGATTAAATTTTCAATTCATCATATCTTAAAATCATTTTATCTAAAAACATAAGGCACAACGAAACAGAAATAAAATCAAAATGATAAATGAAAAAAAAACTGCAGCTGTATAAATAATTGTAATATATAATAATTATTATGTAGTCGAAACCAGACCTGGGGTAATCATTAATCGCAATCATTGTAATCATCATGTAATTGATTATCTTACCCAACACTGATTATAATAATTGTAATCAATTACAGCTTAAATTCAGTCAGTAATTATGATTACAATTTGATTGACTTTGATTTTTATCAGATTTAACAGGAAAAAATGCCTTTATCTCACATAATACAGTTTGGCTTTTGGTTACAGTTAAACGTTAAAAACCCTCATTTAAGACCACCAAAGTGAATATTCTTATCATTGCTAACTTATTTTATGACCATTTTTAGTCATTTTTTATGAACAAACAAATTGTATCTATACCTACAAATACAACATAAAAACATTTAGTCTCGATAATGTATGCAATGATATTGAATCTTATGAGAGGAAAACATATTTCTGAAGAAATTTAAACATTAATTTTTCTTTAGTCAGATTTCAATATCAATTATTATATGATGTACATAAATCAAATAAAATTCAATTCTTCAGAAAATTAGTGTGCTGAAAGCAACATTTAACAACTCTAAAATTTACCTTCTGCACCCTCTTTCATACAATAACCCAATAATAACAACTTTTTTCATACCTTGTGAAATCAAATGTCATGTCATTCAAGTAGATCATAACAACAAATTGGTGTTGACTTTAATATCAGTGGCCTCAGTAGTTTGGTTAAATTAAAAATTAAACATAAATTTGGACTGAATCTGGTGGTCTTGAAAGTGGATAAGAGGGTGGTCTCAATTCTGGATCATGTAACCATTGACATAGTTAACATTTTAAAAAATGATCTTAAGGGCGAGGTGGTCATAATTCTGGGGTGATCTTAAGTAGGGATTCTACTGTACATTGAATGTAATCAATTATCAATCAATTACTCTCTTAAGTAATTGTAATTTAATCGATTACAAACGCAAGTCTAAGTAATCAAACTTAATCAATTACAATAAAATCTGAAAGTAATTGTAATTAAATCAATTAGTGATCAATGTAATCATCCCCAGGTCTGGTCGAAACTGTAATCGGGATTTTTTCTTATTAGGAATTTTGCTTTGGTTTCCATCATAATCATATTGAAAAAGTAAAAAATAACATGTAAGAAATGCACTTTTCCTATTTCTAACATATAAGGTACACGGAAACTAAAGGGCATCGATAGCAGTCAGCTCAATATTACGATTACTCTTTTCTTGTTCATATAGGACATTTTTATTTTTTCGAATATTAGCAAATTCAAATCACAATGGTATGTTTTAGATATGAGGAATTTTTTCTCTGAGTGATTAAATCGATTAAAAGCAAAAAAAAAAAAAAAAATAATGTTGTACAACAATTTGTTAATTTTGTGTAAAATGTCAGAAAATTACTGATAAAAGTAAAATTATCATTTATTTAATTTAATACTTTTTTCAAATAATCGAACCAATGTCTGATGCGAAATAAAACAAATCCCTTTTTACAGAGTTTAGAATGACACATCATTTTTGAAGAACAAAAACATGTATCCATGTGTAGGGAATATGTTACAACTGAAAACTGAAAACAAGACGATTCTTATGTAAGTTATAAATATATGTCTAGCATTTTAGTTTTAACAATTTCAATTGGATGCATATGCATATGCAATTTATTATCTAGAGTATATAATTTGCTTAACAATATCATTTATTACATCTTTACATATCTTGGCTATTTTCTTGAGAGAAAGTATTGACTTAAAACAATAGACTTTTCACATATTAAGCGAGCATCTGATCCCTTGACTACAGACATCAAAAGTGAATATAGTTATCAAAAGAAGGTTTGAAGCAAACTAATGATTTTAAATTAGAAACATTCACTAGGGTTTATATTCAGTTTCTTAAATGTAAAAAATGTTGTGTGTAGAAAGTAGAAAGTAGCGCAGATGAGCGGGTCATGTCGTAAAGGTAGCAGAATGTAAAACAAGTAGTGTTTTGAATTTCACACAAAATACTAATGCACTATAATTAAACCAACTGTCAACAGAACGTAAGAATCAAAGAAAGTGAATTTATATGGCAAATGAGTTTTTTTCTGAAACTGATTCCAAAAAATAAAAAGTTTTTTAAGAAATAAATGATAGAATTTCTTGGATATAGTGGGCCTTTAAACAAAAATGTATTGGAGGTTTGCAATGTTGATTCAATTTTGATTTTTAGATTTATAGGACTCTTATAGTCTAACTTGGATTATAAATTGTATTTTTTTGTTTGATTTAAATTTTATGAAAACGAATATTTGTTAACTGAGTCATGTTTATAACACTGATGTTATAGTCCCTTTATACGAGTGTTGTCCCAAAATATCGTAGACAAAGTCTGTTATATTACTCAATCAATTATAATACAATAGAGTCCTCCAGCTAGGGAAAAGTCAATACACCTTTTATGTGTGTCTATGCGAAATAAAATCAAAATAACTCCAAAATTGACCAAGTTATGAAAATTTAAAGAATACTACCTAATCATACCCGGCGCACGCCGTCATAAACGTCATGACGTTATAAGATGTTTTAAAATGTTTTTCAAAGTATTCACGTGTTTCACGATGCACTGTCAGTGTGGGGCAACCTATTTATCATAAACGTTTTCAAAACAGTCCTGCTTCAATGTACTCAACACTCGCAGAGTTGAGTTTCCTGGCGGAGTTCGCTGAAGTTTTCGAACCTGTGTCCCCGTAATTGTGATTTCAAATAAGGAAACACTGCAAAGTCTTAGGGCGTACGGATGTCTCTGAAAACCTATCACATCAAGTTCAATCTATGTCTCCTGAGATCTATGGCAAGGTGCATTATCTTGATAAAATATAATGTTCTCCATGTTGTCAATTAACGCTGGACGCTTCTTCAACTTAACACAGTATTCAATGGCATTGCGTTGCGCCGCATTTTCATCTGACGTCGCCATTTTTGGCATTTTCAAAATAGCACTGCTGTTACGTATTATGCTACAGATTTTTTCAATTTAACGTTACATAATAGGTATTTCCGAAAATTAATTTATTTTTATGCTAGAAGTTAAAGGCATTATTTTAAGAAGCATGCTCTCAATACTGACTAATATTTTATCGTGCTCCGGGTATGGTGTACTGTTAAATATAAAACCCTGATAAAAAGCGTTAACTAATATATTGGCTAATGACTTTAAGTAGGTAAATTAACAAATGACCAAGGAAGATATATGGTAAATTTTATTAAGTTATGACGTCGGGTTGAAGAGAAAATAATGTAGTCTACAACATTTTGTGTCAACCCTCGTATATACACCCAGAAAAGATCAACAATAATTAGGCATATAATAAGATATATACCTTATAACTGTCGAACTGCATCGAAAACACAAATTTGCCTTTATCTAATGTTTTATTACAAACTAGATAACAAAGTGTAAAGAAACAGAATAAATCAAAGAATTGAACATTTTGAGTGTCTATTTTTTCTCAATGTTTATATATTATGACATTTGTGATGCTTATAATACCTGA